CACACACACTCGCACACACACACACACACACAGACACACACACACACACACACACACACACACACACACTCTCACATACATATTAGGCACATACACATGCACGTGCACATGCACATACACAAACACAAACATACAAAACACACAACAAAAATGCACACACATACACATCTAAAACATTATCTCGTACCCACACAGAGCGCATAGAAAGCAAACAAGCAAACACACCACCTACCTCCTTGGCCCCCCTTCCCAACTCCCTCTTACCCCAGCCCTAGTGCGCCCATTGTGGTCACTAGGTGGTCAGTAACAGGGTCCGGCCTGGTTTGTCAACATTGAGAATGTCACCGTGAACGGAGATCGATGAGGCCTGAACATAATCAGCTGACTTGATCAGCGGAACGCGAGACAATGGAGGGGAACGGTCACCGAGGAAAGTGGGGAGGGACTACCAAGAGTCAGTTTAAAAGATGGGGATGGAGTATTGTTGATTTCTGAAGAGAGCTGCTTTTGTTTTCTCATTAAAATGAGTTACGTTTTTTTTAAAGTAGCGTTTCCATATTTGTAAAGCGCTATCAATAATAATATTATTTATTCATAATACTGTCGAACATGCCACAGACGCTCATTAATTGTTGAGGAAGGAAGTGACCGTCTTAAACACTCGGGTGTTTTACACATTGTCATTATAATGTAAAATACGGGGATGGCCTGATCAGGGCTTTTAATACCTGAACTATTATCAGTGAAATGTTTAATATAGAGGTTAGACAACTGCTCCCTCCATTTGGGGCACAGGGCAAGCCAAGCAGAGATATGAGAATCTAAAAAAAAAGCAGGGCGTTTTTTTGTTGTTCTTGTTTTTGGCGTGTTTCTTCTTTTTTTTTTTTTTTGAGGGTGGGTACGGGACAATTCGATGTTAATACGATGGGGTACGGGACTTTGAGTGAGGACTGAGGGGAATCTCAAAAAAAGCAACACAAGAATAAAGTTGTTTGTTAACCTCCTTAACAACTCAGTCAGAGGTCAACTGGGAAATAGATGCCCCGTGTTAGGAAACATTTAAGGAAAAAGCTGCATAGAAACTCAGAAACTACACTTTCAATTAACCAGAGGATAATATTCTACCCTAAAGCCATAATAAAATAATATTATTAAGTTACCTTAGCACTTTTTACTATGACACTCTATGATCGCCCCCCTCTTTACGGCAGCAAAAGAGACAGGCATCCGTGGTGTAGTAGTTAGGTGCGTCGCCAACACATACAGATGACCCGGGTTCGATTCCCGTATAAGAAAACTGTTTATCAAATACCTTTGTCTTTTTCCGCCGACTTTTTAAAAATCGTTTTCAGGCTGTGCTGACCCTAGGAGGCAGTGCCATAGCCCGCCTCCCACATGACATAAATTGTGCCATAGCCCGCCTCCTACATGACATAAATTGTGCCATAGCCGCCTCCCACATGACATAAATTGTGCCATAGCCGCCTCCTACATGACATAAATTGTGCCATAGCCGCCTCCTACATGACATAAATTGTGCCGGGGAGGGCGTAAAAACATAGGACCTAGATCTATATTAGAAAGAAATGTTTACAGTAGAAAGTATTTTATTTCGTAAGGAGTCTGTGGCTTTAAAAAATTAGACTTTTAGTAAGCGCCATCCGGAAACTCCAAAATACACACTATGCTCGGAAGAATAAATGGTGTATCTTAACATCAGGCTCTGTTGACTTTTAGTGTGATTATTATCACCATTTTTATGTGAGTTGGTTTTAGCCATAGTGGAGGTATCACACATACACATAGGCTACTGAGCGTCAGAATATTTTATACGTGTGGGCGAGGTTGATGGAGCATAAATTATATTAGCATACAGGGAAAAAGTATAATGTTGTATGTGCAAACAGGAATTAATGCGTGTATTTTGATCTATTGTCAGCCTCATGGAGTATGTTGGAGGGCATGCAAACTTCAGAGGAGCTGTCTCTGTTTTCTGTCTGTCTGTCTGTCTGTCTGTCTGTCTGTCTGTCTGTCTGTCTGTCTGTCTGTCTGTCTGTCTC